TATTAAATAGTAGACAGCTTCTAGATTACAAGCACGTGCTGCACAATAGAGTGCTGTGTGTCCTGTTTGTGGATCCTGTGCATTTATGGTTCTTAATGTTGAGTTTTGTAACCGAATTTTTAATTCTGTAGCAAGTTCAGGCTCAGCAGCTAATTGTTGTAATGTATAGTTGTCTAGAGATATATTTCTTCTCCATTCTCCATCTTGATCATATTTTTTACGTTTATCATGATCAGACAATGTTTCATAAGCCCGACAAATAAGTCGAAATTGTTCAGGCGTAATTTTACGAATTCCTGACGTCCGAAGTCGATCTTGTTTATATTCACGAATTTGAGTACGATATGCTTTAGGGAAACAATAATCTTTATCAGTATTTTTTACTCCAAGTATATCGTATGGTGTTGACGTTAATGCTTCCATACCTTTCTACTTTTGTGTGAAAATATGTGGCACAAAAAAAAATGCTGCTTCAAGAAAAAAAACACCAAGTGCTTTTGCAAGAATTTATTTTGTCTTCCATCATTCAACTTTTTTTTCTTTCGTTCTCCTACTTCCTTGGATTTTTTTACTCATTATTTACAGGGAGCATTTCTATGAAGAGGTTCGACTACATTACAAAAATCTTCTCTATATGCCTTCAAAATATCACACCTTGCAAAATAGTTATACTGATTATTTTTTTGTTTTGTTTTAGAGACTTTTCTCTTTCATGTAACATAGCAGAGAGACAAAGCGTTCGATGATTCTATCAAATTATTATTTTTAGATTCAAGAACCTATTAAACAAAATAAATTTCCGAAATTTTGCGTCCGAAAGTATTCTGTTTTCAATTTATATACTTTCACTTGAATTTGAATGCATATATAAAAACGCATGGAATAAGTTATTTTTTTTTTTTTATACTAAAAACACAAACAAATCGTTCGAAAACATAATCCATACGATACGTTTTGTTGATATAAAAAATGTTTTAGTCTTGCCCAGCAACCTTTTTCTATTCGTTTAGCTATGTTAATTATTGCAACACATTTGTTAGTAAGGTTTCTTATTAAGAAAACTATCTTGGAGTGTGAGTGGATCACGATCGCACTTGCTCCTACATAAAAACTGAAACTCGCCTCCACACTCACACCGGTACCCGACATTTGCACCCACCCCACACCTTTTTTTGGGTATTCGTGCAACAAAAATTGAACGTGTTCCCCAAATGTTTGGATACTACAAGGAAAAAATCAAAATTTTATCTCATTCTTTAAAAATTGTTGAATAATAATATGCACTTCAGAAACATATGCATGATGTGCAATATTCTCTGATGAAAGTATTTTAGTATCAATTTTGCTACCATTGTTTGTAAATTACAGTTCTATTACTATATTCTGATTTTAACATATTCAGTTCCATCTCACTGTATTCAAAATTTTCCAGTCCATCAAATATTTACATTCTAAGACCTAACATAAAAAAGTATATAATATTACGAAGGTAGTAACAACTATACTTTCAGTAATGAATTACGAGTATCAATAAAACTATCTCTTGATATGATGATGAAAGACAAATTCATTTCTTTTGACAATTTTAATCTATTGATAAATACTTCTTTTTGAAGCTGAGCAGACAGATGTTCAGCGTGCACACATAAATTGTTAAAAATGACTGAGAAATTTATAAAATTACTTTTGAAATCTAAGCCTATTTTGGCTAATCCTTTGATATGTTTATTAAATAAAGCTGTTTCTAAATCTAATTCGACGGCTAAGTTATACTGACAAGAAAACACCGGATTAATACGACAGATATCATAAATAGTTTCGTGCTCCATATGTTCAGAATATTTAGTTCAATTTTCTAAACAAAGAATATTCAGAAAAACGAAAACAGTTATTCAAATCATTCGTCGTTATGGGTAATGATCTATATTCAGTAGAATTCATTAATATTACTCTGATAATGAATATTTTATTTCGTATTATGGTTATTTTAATTAAATCAGATGTAAATGCAAATGAATTGATTAAAAAAACATCATTGATCCAGGGGTAACAAATACCTTTAGTGCACAAAACAACAGGTTACTTACCATGTTTTATATGATACTGAGTAAAGTATACTTGAATGATGTATTTACTCTCTATTCCATAACTAGAGTCGATAGTTGTATCGAAAAATAATTATATATTGATTGATTTGGTCTATTCAATCTAAACAATATTTTAACTTAATATTTTACTCTAACGTAGACGAAAGATATTTGAAAACATAAGAAGGAAACTCGCTTGCCAAACAATATATCCAAATGGCAGTATCCGTCAGCTACACATAATGCGTTTTTGTCGCTGTCGTCCAAGTAAGCTGAAATGTCTTAGATTATGATGTTTATCTCATTTTCAATTTTTCATCAAAAGACATGTTTTCGTATAAGAGATGTTTGATTGGATGTATAACTAAATGTAAGATCATATAGAAAATAAGAGTACTGTGAAAGTAGTACTTCTGCCTCGTAGTCGAGAGTGTGTCAGTATATTGTTCATTCAACCATTTGTGTTGGTTTTCTTAACACAATAAATCGTTTTTCTTCATACTAAAAAAGGAATTTATTTGAAATCAGCATGAATCAAACGATTAAAATACATATTGTTGAAGATCAATTGCCGTTGAATACTGGATGTGGGTAAGTATTCATTTGCGTGTAGTTGAAGAGAAGACTCACACCTACACGCAGAACCTCTCAACGCCAATGTCGATCCTTTCAAAACATCAACAAAAAGCGATAGACACTGACCTTAATACCACGTAGGATGGAAGTCGAATTTCGGTAGAGTTCCAGACATTCAAATTGCTTTTATTGAGGGTAACCAAACGTAATCTAGAAAAAATATTATTTATAGTAATCGAGCACAAAAAAACAGACGATTTTTGCATCTATTATTCTAGTGTTGTAACATCGACGATGAATGAAACAATACGAGATTGAACAAACGATTAAAGAGAATTTCGAAATTTCTCCTCCTTGTGGCTAGGGCCCTGTCACGAGAGGGAAAAAGCACTGATTCAGTTACTTCAATCTTAAAATGTCGATGGAATAGCATGAAGTAGCGGTTTTTCCTCTTGTTTTGTCTCTACTAGAGAAAAAAATGTAGTATTACCTTGGAATTAAGTCACCACTCATCTTGATCTGATCCATTTTACCACCAATAACAATCGAACATAGACTCTATGCTGCAGCTAGGGCACATAGACATAGACTAAATTGGTACATTAAAGTTAAACTGATAGTTAGTCCGCTATTTGTGACCACTACCTTTCTTCTTCTTTTCTTTCATCTCTCCATTGGTCACTAGACCTATTTATGTTTGTTTACGTTATGTGTGACGATAGATATAAGTTGTTGTTGTGTTGTTATATTAAGTAGTTGTGAACAGTATAGTAAAATATAGATAAGAAGTTTTTAGTTAGTTACAACAAACTAACATAAACTATCTCCGAAGGATAAATTATCTCTGCATTATATGTTAGACCAGTCAGGTTCGCTAATTCAGCAGTAACTTTCGTAGTGGAGACAATGTCACAACGATAGATATATGGTAGAAAGTCTTTTCAATCAGCTCGATGAATGCTGCTGTTTATGATTGAAACAGACAGCATTCGTCGGACTTGCCTTCGTGTCAGTTGGGTTGAATTGGCTAGGACGCTATATGACATGAAGCTGCGTACAATTAAATATTTTTTTGTACAGATGATATTTGACAGACAAACTAGGCTGTTTCTTACTCTCTGCAGCATATTTCTTCAAAAGAGAAAAATTAATTTCTATGGATAATATAGTCACTACGACCGTTTAAACGTATATTCGAATTGTAATCATCCGATTCTTTTCGTCTTACTTTACTAGAAGTTAAGAAGGACTGAAGATTCAAGTTGAGTACCAAAATTGTGTCTAAAAGACAATATCACAGTTTCCAAAGACTATTAGTAATGATTTTATCGAAGATGAAAAAAAAGCGAAGACGAAAGCTGATAGAAAAAAATCAATATCCTTGATAGCAGAGTCCTTTACAGTAAATATGTCGTTGTATCTTGATTTCAATCGAGTGAAATTGTTGTAGTGTGAATCAGTTATATATATGATATTATCCTTTTTTCTTTCTTTTCTTTTCCTTTCTTCATATTCAGATATTTTTCCTCTCGTTCATGTTTTCTTTCAAGTATATTTAGATTTTTCTTAGTTGGTTAGTATATATAGCAAATTTTTTTGGTAAAATTAAAAAGTCATTTAGTTAATCAGTGGGATCAAATTCCCTGTTAATACTTATTCAGAAAGAAATTTGACCTTTAACAGTCGAGGCAGACGAGGTTTGTTTTTGAATGTAAATCGATCACACAACATTCATTTAAACGTAAATCAAGACACGTTATGAAAGTCTATTCTATCTGTTCTCTTTCGTTCAATGGACATTGATTGGTCATCAAATTTACTAAAGATCATATATGTAGAAGGGAAAATTCCTGCCATCTTGCTATTGAGGAGTTCCTAGAAGAAACATTCACATAAGTGAATTCAAGTTTTTTTTGTCGATAAATTTAAAACTTGAAAAAAATAGACAGTTTTGAATTCGATTTCGTTGAAATTTTTAACTTTCTCAGTTAGAACGAGTGAATCACTGTAGATTCGATTGAATTTGAGACGAGCAAAAGAGGCTTTGATAAAATTGAAGATCAAATAATATTTCTAGAGTGATATGTTTCAATAACATTCAGAGTGTGAATTAAAGAAAAAATTCCGAACATCACAAATATTAAGTCTGCTTCATTCAGTTTGAATCGAATCATCGTATTGTATTGAGATCGATTGAACTAAAATTATTCTCTTCTCGAATATTCTGAGAGAATTTCAGATAAACAGAAAGTCAAACATTTCAATGACTACAGCTAATGTCGAACTTTAGAAAACAATTTTCGAAGTCTGAGATTTTATTAGATATTTTCGAGGACAAACAAGACGTTCCTTTTTGTTGAAAATCGTCGGAATTTCGAATATAAATCTTCGATTCAAAAACACTTGTCATTCGTCTAGCTGACAATTGCAATTCATTGTTTCATATTCACTGAATCGATTCAATCACATTCGATCATTGATTGAACCAGGTCAAATACTACTTATGAAATTATCTCGACGCTTTGTCAATTTCTTATCAAATCAATTGAATAGAATTTCGACCCTAATTCACTCAAACTTACTGATCAATCAAAACATGTCAGACGAATTTTCCTCTCAAGATAAATTCATTCGTCCATCAAAGCTTGAAAGATTTCATTTGAGCATGAAGACATTCACAAGCGATTGGATTTTTCTTTCTATTCGTTTCTTTTTCTAACTTTCAATTTGATTCTTTTTGTGACCAAACAATATTTGATGGAAACAATTCTCTCGAGAAAGAATTCAACACATTTTTGATGAAATTTCGAGAGGATCTATTCAATACTTTACAAGTCAGCAATATGAATGAAACCTGAGAGTGAATAATTGTCAATGTTACTGTGTACTCCACACTAAGACTTTTCAATCAAAGACGAATCAAATGAAAACTTTTTTCAAACAACTCGCTTTTCCATATAATTTTTCTTTTTTATCGAAATATCGAAATGATTCGTTCGATTTTGATTCAGTAAAATATTGATTTCATCTTTTCCTCATTAATCAAACTGATTCAATGAAAAAATTTTCTTTTCTATTCCAATGCCATTTCATTAGCTACTCTTGAGATTATCACAAAGATAATAAATGACAGTTTTCTTTTTTTGAAATTCTTCATTTTCTTCAATCGTACAAATCAATTCTTAACTTGAACAAATTTAAATAGTCCATGAGAATGGATTTCGTTACAATTTGATGTCAGAGAGAACCGTATAATAAACAATTCGATTTTTTTATCAAATAAATCTTTGTGAAAATCATCCGATGTTCACAATTCTTTCCTTATCATTCTAATAAATTTTTATTAATCATTGAAAATGATCGATCGATCTACGTAGATCAAAACACTTTTCAATTGAATCATCACTGAATTCATCTTGTCTTATGCACGCCGCTCAAATAGCTGAGAAACGAATTCTATTACTACTTTTCTTCTCGTTTTCTTAGTCAAAGATCTTTTCTTTCGACGTTCACTGAATTGACAACAACAAAAGTAGAAGAACAGTTACATCTCTCTATAGACCAAATGAAATTATCTCATTGCGATATTAATGTATCACACCCCCACTCAGGTTTCGATTTATTGTGGCAACATGTTTGTTACTGATTACTCGAACAATCGAGTGATAAATATGTTCAGATTTTCACAAAGAATCGCTCTGGATAAAAAGAAATGTCTCACTATCAAAAATGGTTAGGAAATCCTTTCAATTTATCGACTTTATGTGTTCTCGTCATCTGTTATTTTGAATTTCCAATGGCAGGACGCAAAAGTAGCCGAATATCGACACAAGATTTCTCATCAGTAAAAATGTTGACAACTGGAAAAATAACAAGATTGAAGTCAGTTCAAATTCTATTTACAGTAGATTAAAGTCAATGCTAATACACATGAGTACGAAGAAAAATACACTTAAAATGAGAAAAAAAGTGATATCCATGTTGTCCTGTTATATATCATCATGTATATACATATTCTTATTTATTTCGACTTGATTCCCATTAGTAACGACAGTTATTGATATATTCACTTGCATCCCCTCCGAAAGGAACCAGAGCAAGAGCAGCTTGGCTAAGGGAAGCCGAAGTTAATTCATCATCTTAAATTTTTCCTATTGCGACCGTCTCTTCAACGACTCGCTCATTCACCTTTTCCTTAAAAATTGTAATTCCAATACATTCGGGCATCGGTAAGTCAGAGCTATGATCTCCTGACTTCCTTATATACTGATTATTATGATCGATATGAATATAAATCTAGCACATCCGATCCTTGCAACACCAATACTTAATATTTAGTCTAATTTTGTTTAAATGATACAGAAAATCATCGCAAATCAAAAAAGACGACAATTACTCTCAAATCAATCAGTTGAAAGTATGTGTACATGTTAGTACGTAGAATGGTAGTGTGCATATGAATGACGAACTCTGAAAAACAGAAAAAATATATATTGTTAATCGAGGTAGAAAGAAACAAGATTCTATCTTCAGTATTCGTTACTATGTTTGGACTTTCGACATGTTTTTTGTCGATATATAGTCTTCGACATTTGATTTGTTGGCATTTGGTCTGTTGACGTGTGACTATCTCGTTGGTAGAACATTTTTATTCTATTTTGGGAACAGAAGTACGTTTGTTTTCCATTGATTCTATTTCATGAGTAGAGAGAGAGAGAAAAGAACTAAGTAATTCGATCAGAAAGATATGATTTATCTCTGCTTACTTTTTGTTAAACGCAAACGCTTTAATTTCAAAAAGAAAAACTGTTTCATCTCACCCTTACTCTATCAGTTCTCTTGCTTTCCTCTTCCAATGTCTTAACAGAAAGTATTAAAACTACATGCATAACTACATGATCTATCAGCAAAAGCCTCTTTCAAAGCTCTACAAAATTACTGATAACTCGTCCTAGTTGATAGTGCGAACACCTACGTTTTCGGATAGTATGACTTGAGACTGATGTCTTTGCCATCAACAGATAGATTAAATTCATAAAAAACCTATCAGTATTTATATTGATATTTGATGCCGTTCGCGAAATCCTGTTGAAATAAGATCACCATAAAAGATGAAAAAAAATCTGATGTATAACTATTTTCTTTTACGTAAATCTTATGATTTTGTTTTTAACAGTGGAATAAGTTTTCTATCTTGCAATATAGACACTGATTGGCAAGTATTAAGACTAGAAAGAGTGGTTTCAAGGTTAAATAGTTCAAAATCTCAAAAGAAATTAATTTATGTTTTATTTCTTAAAAATTTACTAGTAACACTAGTACAGTTCAATTCTTTATTCCCATTTGTTGCCATCCAAAGAACTTTTGAATATAATCAGTTAACGTAACTTCATTTAAAAATTCCTTCAATTTCTTCTCATTATTACAATAGGTATTTTGAGGTCCATTGCACGTATACACCGTTGCATTTACTTCATCGCCATAGTTCCTCGACTTCGACTTTAATTTATCTTCCTTCTTCAAACACTTTGGTTTTACAGTTTTCAAACTTTGTTTATCAAATCGGTTCATATCACCACAGTATGAATTTAAAGTAGATGTAAGTGTATCAGCATGAAAATACGTTTCTACTGGCATTTTAGGTTTGCTGTAAAATTTATTAAGTCGTTGAATTAAATTTGTGTGGTTGTAATTAGCAAATTTCAAGGCCGTTCGAAGTTGAAGAAAACGATCCAATGGTATATGACAATTATTTTCAAATGAACATTCGTAGAATGCTTTGAGTTGTGCACGACTACCATTTGTACTCATGACGGTTTCAAAAACAATACGACGATCATCATCGGGTAAATTTTTGAGAGAGAGGTACGAAGCATTATAGTAGATGGTGACGTATTGACGAGCATAGTCGATACGAAGAAGTGTATGACAGGCTGTTGCACCGAATTTAGAGGTTGAAGATGTTTGGTTTTGACAGCGGGACCAAGGAGATTGCCAGGCTGATTTATTGCGTAGTTGAGCGAAAGTGTATTCGTAAGAACAGGAAGCACAGAAGAGTTTTTGCGATGAGGGAGTAGTTGTGGGTGCAGCTTTGGTGGTTTTTGTTAAGACATTGAAAGAGGAAAACAAGAGAATTAATAGAGTTAGAGTGAGGTGAAACATTTTTTCTTTTTGAAACTAAAGTGTGTGTGTTTAAGTGAAAGTAAGCAGAGCTAAATCATATCTTTCTAATCGAATTACTTAGTTCTTTTTTTTCTCTCTCTCTCTATGTATGAAATAGAATACGAAATTTCAAGGTCATTCTTATCTTTCCTTTTCAACTGATCAATCCACCGCAAGTAAAGAAAAACAACAAACAGACAAAGTTTAATGAGTTATTTGTGAACACTACAAAAAAAAATATCATTTAAATAACGATTGAAAGTCCCTTCTTATGACATGTTTTTAATCATTGAAACTCCGCTATTAAGGGTCGTACTTTTCTAGTCTAAAACGATCACTCAAATGTCTGATTTTAAGTTAATAAAAAGGAATAATACCGCACTTATACCTTACAGAACAGCAGTCTGTCGTCATATGCATCCGAAAATTTAATAAAAAAGAAATCAAATGAAAATCAATTTTGTTTTTTTTTAATGAAACATTGATTTAAATTGAAAATTTGTTATTGATGTGTTCATGATGAAGGATTGAATTGTTTAGATTTAGAATGATTTTTCTACTAATTTATTCCAACTATTTAACATCATTATACTGTAAAAACTTATTTCTATCATCAGAGACGTCTTCCATGCATAACTTATTTTCTCAGAATGTTAATGTATATACGCTACATGTCATAGAAAGTCATAAATATAATTTCACTTTTCGTTTCGTCGATTCAACTACCATATAGTAGCCTACTATGCACTTGGATTTAATTGTTTAGTAAGCTGTAGTATACGCTATCTTTTCTCTCGATGAACTTTGACATATACTGTTGAGTTTTGCCCTAACATAAAATTCATTAAGTTGATATTTTTTATTGTCATCCTATTCTGACTCTGCTAGATCAAAAATACGACGACGCTAATGATTGACTTCTACCATAAGATCCTTTTGCTGCACTAAAAGTCATAACCCATTATATTTAGACTACTGTAGTTAGCAACAACAGAATTCCGGAATTCATGTTACTTACACGTTTTTTCTTGTTGCAATGGAAACATATCCAATAATCTTTGGTTTCCGGCTATCTAATTGCTCAGATTTGGAGGAAACTCGATTCACACTTGTACTCACTGTTTTTTTCATCGAAAATATACATGAATTGTACAATAGAAAAAAATTCAAATACGATGATTAAGTACTTTCAATGATACTACTCTAAAAAATTTTTCTCGTTCTACAATGAATCCAGAAGTAATTATACCACACTAATTGAGTTGCACCTTTTCGCACATTGTTCAGTTATGTAGTCAAATGACTGCTCACTTGAGCTTTTAATTAATTTGAAAAAGGCATGACTAAATGTGTACTTAATTTAAAGCTGACATATTACAATCTAGATAATGAAACTAAAGCAGCAAAATAATTACTTTTTTCTTTACAAATATATCTCAAAAGTGAGTTTTTCGTTCTCGTTATTATTCATTCATGTTGAGAATATTATTTATAAATACAAAGAGTAAAAAAGTTACCTTCTTACTGCATTGAATTTTTGATAATCTTGATAATAAACAATACTATTTTCAATTCGTCTAGTGCCAAGGTTATTTCGATCAGTTGTCAACACGTACGATCGATACGGTTTGGATGTATATTTAATTTCAAAAACAAAGTTTTACATTTTCTGCAAATTGATAAATCCTCAAAATATTATTTCATTAACATTGTTGAACGATGAACAAACACCAAATGAAATAGATTTGTTTGTTTTATTTATTCGTCTCGAGCAATTAACCCGACTTCGTTCATTAACTCTTCGTAAAATTAATGTTGATCAGTGTAACTTTATTTTGACCTTGCTCAGCCTTGATTGGCTCACTTTATTTTCATTCAATATTGTACAATATTGTGATACATGTTTAAAAACAGCGAGTATTCTTCTCTTATCAACAATAGAAAAATCAATTCTTCGCGAATTGGACATCGATATGAATATGGAGAGTATATCGAAGATTCTATGGTCAATCAAGTACACGATTCAATATTTGAGGATAAAGCAAAAGATGACAATGGATAAAGTTTGTGCAGTTCTCCAGTGTTTTCCTCATTTACACACCTTTAGTCTGGGTCAGATGTCAACAGGGATGATTGATAATTTAACTTCAATATGTTTTCGACAGTTAATATCGTTAACTATCAAATATCTTGGGATAACTATGGATCAACTCGAATCATTTCTATTATTAATATCGTCACTTGTTTATTTGAAATTATTTCTATGGGACAAATATGTTGGATGGTAAATGATGGGAAGAATTCATTGGAATAAATCTACCTCAGTTGAACACATTTGAATTTGATTTTTCAGCTGGTAAATCAACTGAGTACACCGAAGTAGATCCTGAGTTAATTATTACTTCGTTTCAAACATCCTTCTGAATTGAACGAAAAAAAAAATGGTTTGCCACTTGTGAGTATTGTTACAATTGGGTAGTCTGTATCAGTCTTTATTAAGTTCCAATATGCGAATCTTTTATGCGTTACAGATTAAAATGGGAAAAAACTTCATTGTCAACTTATCCTTTGCCGATGTACAACAACCCAGCAATAATGGATAACATTAATTCGTTGAGTTTAACTTTGAAGAAGTCGACAGGTGAATATATTAAAGCAAACGTATGTTATTTGTAGACAAAAGTTCTACATTAAAGCAGAAATAGAAAAATAAAATGCGACTAATTCTTATGATTTTTTTGCCAGCCTCCTACAGATCTTTATCAACAGCGTTTTAGATCTCTTTTTTTCTAATATTTTCGCTTGGATCGAAAGATGAGTATTATATTGAACATACGACAAGACATTGAATATGTAGAAATAGATTCATGTTTATTGTATAATAGTAAGCTGAAATATCTTCTTGAAAAAATACTTGAGAGCAGAGATTTTGTTTTTTAAATTTTTTATCTTCCAAAACATTGCTTCAATGTAAAAAGCAACTAAGTTATATTTCTTTTGCTTCCATCCGTAATTATATTTTATTTTAATAAATATATTTGGTGTTATATCAGATTAAACGGGCTTTATAAAGTGATGAAAGTCGTTCACATGAGAACTGTAACTATTCTTGTATCATTGAAATGCTGTAGAAATTTTTGTGGTGATTGAGTGTGTAAAATTTCATTGATTTGCTGGAAAAATTGCTGAAAGGGTGAGTGTATGTGAAGGGAATGATCAAGACCCACATCTACACCCTCAAATACAATGTTTTTTGTGAATTCCAGGAGATGAAAAACTTGGTTTTTGGCTTTTCAGAGATCCTATCCTTGGAAAATCAGCAATTTACTTTCATCTTCAAAAAGTCTTGTTGGAAATAAAATTCTCTGCTAAAATCGCTTTTTAGGTTCTAATCAGTGTTTACAGTAGTGAAAACAAATTGAAACTAAACATGATCGAATAAGTTTTAGAGTCACTGTATCTAACTGATTTGAAAACGAATGAAGTAAAAGTAATATCATCATTTTGAAAATACTTTTCATAAAGCATTCATTTTCTTCGAATGATGCTATAGAAAAGAGAATAAAGAGAATTTTTGAGCATTTTAATTTTGATTTGAACTATGAATAAATTAGACTACTGTCATAGAATTATTTAGTTTCTACGTCGCATAGTTTTTTAAGGAAAATTCAAGAAAAAGTCTCTCACTACCTATTGTTTTGGTATTATATTTACTAACACAAAAGAATTGAAAATTCTTCTATCAATGATAATACAAGAAAATATTATATTTAGAACAGCAACAAAGGATGTGAGTTTAGGTCTCTTACTCATACGCCCACACGCACATTCACGCAAAATTTGTATTGCACTGAAACAGGGATCAAATGATCATTTTCGATTTTCGTTCATTAATTTTTTAGAATCCAAGTAAATGTAATAGTTTTGCCATTTGAAAGATAATAAAGATGATTTTGAAGCATTGAATAATACCAAAAAGAATAAATGAATTGAAGTTTAAATAATTTTATTTATTCGATTTTGTATTATGAGTTATCCATGTTTATTTATTTCTTAATATATAATTTTGTTTCTACTTCAATGTTGGATATTGCATTCATTGTTGTTGTCTAATAATACTGATTCGTTGGAATATATGTGAGCATCTATTTTAATAATTAATAAAAAGGAAAGTTCAACTTCAAAAATAGTCTACGATTAGGAATGCAAAACAATTATTTAATGTTGTGATTCTAGAGTCTCAGGGTGGGGTGTGGGAGTGGTGAAGAAAAGAGCAATACACACCTACACACCCACACACCACACCCTCACCCTTCGGATACATATTTAATTGCAACATCTCCAAATCGTATTCATTATAAATCTATAGGTTTCAGAAAGAATAGTATATTCCCCAATCAGTTGACTGCAAGGGCACATCATGTGAATCTAGATCTCTTCACATTCTTTAGTATACACGACAGATGATATCAAATCTTTGAAAAATCATCATGTGTTATTGAAAGATTTGTACTTCAGTATCTAAATTCTTCATAACCTTATATGTTAAATCTGAAAGTACACAAAATCGGACTCGACTAGATCCTATTTGTTTAACTAGACATATTCTTGAAATTTTTTTTTCATTTATTTTCTTTTTCTCTTCTCTT